GACTTTGGCTTAAGTCAGTCTCTCGACTTACAAACCAAGTAATTTTTTATGTCAATGAAATCACCGTTTTGGCTTCCCCGAACTTTTCTCACCTTGCATTTTTTGGCTTGCATTCTTTGGCATAAAGTATGTGATACATCATATACTTGAAAAAGTATGCACTGAATGAAAATTAAGTGAGTGCAAAGTGATTATCTTAATTCATAATATTTATTGAATGATAAAGATATTCTTGCTTTGCAAATATTTCAAACCTTCGACAACATCTTTGGCACATGTTGGCATGAAGTCTGCGAACGAAGCAAAGTCAAACTCGTCTACGAAATGGACAAAATCTTCTAGAGTGCAAAGACTTTTTGCAACTCCAAATGGGCGAAAATCGAAGCAAGACTACTCCATCATTATTGAAAATTCAAGGAACTGGATTGTGTTCCTGTGGACTTTGTACTGTTCAACAGTGAGGCTTCTTTCTCGAAACAGGATTTCGAGTCAATGGACTGGACATTATTGTTTTTGGCAACCACTTTTTCTGGTCTTTCCTTTGTATTTTGCTAGGTATACGGACCCAAACGTACCGCAACCCAACTTATTTTCTTTTTCGAAAAGTTTCCACTCAAACTTTGGCAACTCTGGATCCTTTTTTGCCTTTCCTTTCACACTTGTTGGGATTTTAAAGCTCGCTGCCATTTTGTTCCATTTGACAAAAAGGAAAAGTCCTGGCCCTGGAAACGAGGTTGCCATTTTGGTCAAATTTTGGCGCGAAGTTGTGGTCCTAGTCCGCGTTTTACTAATATAGTCCAGTCCGCGTTTTACTAATAGAGTCCAGTCCGCGTTTTACTAATAGAGTCCAGTCCGCGTTTTACTTATAGAGTACAGTCCGCGTTTTACTAATAGAGTCCAGCCCGCGTTTTACTAATAGAGTGCAGTCCGCGTTTTACTAATAGAGTCCAGTATGTATGTATGTATGTAAAACTTTATTTAAACACGCTTGCCTCGTCAACATGGTGCTGATTTCCACGAGGGGAGTCACACAAATAATACAAGGAAAATAATCAAGTTAGAAAGTCACAATTTAAAAATATTATATACAACTATTTACAAAAGTTAGATTAGCACACATATAGCACAGAATCATCCTCTAGCTTGCACCTATCTCTTTTTTGAAGCAGCCGAGAGTATCGCCGATTTAGCTGCAGACGAAAGGTCATTCCATAACATAGCGCCACTGTACTTAAAGCTTCCTCTTAGATATTCTGTTCTAGGTTTTGGAAGAGTTAAATCATTTTCGCTATTTCTGAGATTATAGGTATTTTGTGTCACATTCCTTTTGTGAAGAGATTCTTTTAGACCCGGGGCAGCGTGGTCATTTAGCACTTTGTACATAAACACAGCCTTGGACTTATTTCTTCTATTGTCAAGTGTTTCCCAAGAGAGGGTATTAAGAATGTCAAGTGACCTTATATCGTAAGTGGCACCAGTTATTACCCTTGCTGCGCGAGACTGAATTTTTTGTAGTTTGTCTTGGAGCAATTTACCACAGTTTCCCCATAGGGTGGAACAATAGTTAAAATATGGCTGCACTAGTGCTTTATATATGGTTTGTAGTGTATTAATATCAACGTACGGTTTAGTGCGTTTAATAGCCCCAATACCGGCCTTGCCTTTTTACATATTTTATCAATATGTTTTTCCCAGCTCAAATTTTCATCGATTTCTACTCCTAAGCTTTCAAAAGAATGAGTTAATGGTACTGGTATGGTGATCCAATGAACATTAATTTAGTTTTAGTTGGATGGTGTTGTAACTTATTTTTGGTAAGCCAAGTGTGAATATTTTTTAGATCATCATTTAGGTTTTTGATGCAAAATTTGGGCAATGTTTATATTATCATAATCAGATGATGATGCAAAAATTTCAGTATCATCAGCATAGAGGCAAGGGCTTGTAGATTTTAAACACTTTGGCATATCATTAATATACAGTAAAAATAATAGTGGGCCAAGAGTTGAGCACTGTGGAACTCCACAATGTTATTTGTCTAGGAGACGATGTATGACCATTGACAAAACACACTTGTTGTCTCTTTGTTAGATAAGATTCAAACCATTTTAGTTCAGCCCCATAAATTCCAAATTGCTCATTCATCGTTTTTAGTAGAATAGAGTGGTCGATTGAGTCAAAAGCTTTTCTAATGTCAAGAAATACAACACCGTTTAACATGCCGTTGTCCATATTCTCTAACCAGTGGTCGCACATTTGGATGAGTGCTGACATGGTTGAGTGCTTTGGCCGAAATCCTGATTGATATTTGGAAAGCAATAAATTTTGAGACAAATGTTCGTATAACTGATCAAAGACTTTTTTCTCAAATATCTTACTTATTATCGGTAGAATTGAGATAGGTCGGTAATTATCACATTTTTGCCTATCTTCAGATTTAAAGATTAGTGTTATCCTAGCCTTTTTCCATGCATCAATATAAGTACATGAATTAATAGATAAGTTGAAAATGGCAGTTAATGATGATGCTATTATATCTGCTGATATTTTAAGTATTTTTGCAGGTATGTTATCCATACCCGTAGCTTTTGAGACTTTAAGTCTTAATAGAGTCCAGTCCGCGTTTTACTAATCTGAGTCCAGTCCGCGTTTTACCAGTCCAGTCCAGTCCGCGTTTTACTATATGCCCTTCGCTACAACCCACCCTTGGTGTAGTTGTTATGTTTCGCTACTTGAGTATACCGTATTTAATCGTTTGAACGCGGCGGCGATTTTAAATTTTCAGAGCTTCAGGTGCGGCGCTCATTCGGGGGCGGCGCTCAATCGGGGAGGCGCTCTTTAAAAAAAAATATTTGTGAATTACAACAAGAACTTTTAACGAAATAAACAAATTTTAAATGTCTTTGTTACTTAATGTCTCTATTTTGACGGCGGAGAGTTTTTACACTGTTTAGTGTGGCGTTCATTCGGGGCGCCGCTCTTTAAAAAAATTGATCTCAAATGTGGCGCTCATTCGGGGGCGGCGCTCAATCGAGTAAATACAGTATGTTATTTTTATTATTATTATTATTATTATTATTATTATTATTATTATTATTATTATTATTATTATTATTATTATTATTATTATTATTATTATTATTATTATTATTATTATTATTATTATTATAAACTTTATTTTGACACGGTAGAATCATCAGTAAAAATTTACATAATATAGATATATATAAAGTATAGAAAAAGGAGGAAAAGGGAAAAAAAATACAAATGCTATTTACAAAAGACAGAACAGTACTGATTTACATGATTGCCGTGTGTGAATCTAAGCTAACCAACATTCTAGACCTCGTTTAAAAGCGCTAAGAGATTGCGCCGAACGAAGTTCAGTTGGTAAACTATTCCATAAAACAGCTCCATCGTAGCTGAGTGAGCGCTTTAGATAATCTGTATGTGGCTTAGGGACAAATAATGTATTTTCATTGTTTCTCAATCTGTAAGGACAAGACCGCGAAATAAATATGTCTTGTAGATATTCTGGTACCCTCTTGTTTATAGTTTTATACATAAGAATTGCTTTATGCTTTTTGCGATTAAGAGATAACTGGTGCCAGTTTAACTCCTGCAGTAAAGAATTCGAGGAGTTTTTATATGTGCTTTCGGTGATCATGCGAGCAGCACGGTTTTAGTATTTTTGCTGATCAAGTGCGGCATCAATTCCCAACGCTAAAAACAGTGGCAAAGCAAGTCCGAGGACGTTGATTATAATCCACTGGCATGTACTGTATTGCTCGGAATGAACCTAAGCATTCTGAACATACTAGTTATCATCTTAGAATACAATCAACTAACAAATTTGTCACGAACACTGACCGCTGCAGTAATAAATTTACGTGGTATTTCCAAAAACAAAACTATTACATCTTTCAGTTATCGCCATGCAAACATACAAAGAAATATATTAGTTATATTGCTATTCTAATGAGTTTCCAAACCATCTATTCTATTAACTATGATATTTTGTTAAATTGTCAAAGAATTGTTCTGGTTTTCTATGGACTTTTTAATGGTTGCAGTCTTTTTTGAATTAATATATACGCTTTTGTTTGTGTAACGACTCTGGGAATCCGAAATTTAGTTTAAATAAAAATTAAAAATTAAAAATGTTCGATTAATGTTGCTTTATCACCTGAGCATGGATAAGAAAAACGGAGGGAAATATAAAATATCTGTGGAAGTAAGATTTACAAGATACAAATGCTTACTTCGACTGTATCGTGTCGACATCGTATCAGAGATCCCTAGCGCCCAGCTACATCCCACCCTTTTAAAAAGCAAATATTTTGAATTTGATAAAAATACTTTACCTGTTTCGGTAGTTTTCATAAAGACGTATTTACCTCCAGCTGTGCTATTGTAAGCCCAAAGTCTCTGAACCTTTACTCCATCTTCCGTCCCACTTTCTTCTATACAAATTTATTAGATAAATATCAGGATTTTGGCCATCTCACTCGCTTGGTAGAACTACATGTTCTAGATACTGGATGGAATTGTGAATTTCTATATCATATACATTACTGGTAAGAGCGTCTTCCTGGGTGGGTAAACGGGGTGGGGGCATGCAAGTTCTCTCAATTTTGGACATTCATAATATAATCTATAATAAATTACGTCCTTTGGTTATAATGGCTTCGTTCCACGACTTTTGGAAACCATTATCGCTCTTGATTTCTACACTCGCTCTTGATTTCTACACCTATATAACCAGAAGCAGCTGCAAAAAATGCAACTATATTCCTTATGGCAAGAAACGAGCCTGTGTCCTTGCAGTGCTTTAAGCAACGAAACCAGTTGTCGAGTTTTAAATCGGTAAGTTTATATATTTATAGTAGGTAATGTCAGTTTAATGTATATGGGTAAACACTCCATAAAACATATATTAAATGTAAGTTTAACATAATTGATGAAAATATTAGAAGCATGAATTATTGTGAAGTGGTTGGCATGGCAACACGTTATGTTTTTGTATTATTTTGTACAGAATTGTAAAAACGAGAGGCAATTCCAGCTTTTGAAACATTATAATACTGTATCAGTCGTGGTCTGTGAAACAACACGTATTACTAGCAATACATGCATGCAGCAACCCCTCGCACTTTTAACTAAACAAAGTTAATAATAGTAAATTTTATATATGTAATACCTTAATAAATTCTAATCGTTTAATTGGCTGTTTATGGTCACGTGATATCGAATAGAAAATTCCATTTCCCAAGAGTGCAATGGAACACGTTCCATTGCACTCTCCGCGAGTGCAATGGAATAAAACGTATAGTACAATTGCACTCTTTGTGTTTTCGATAAATCGCATCCCTCAAAATGCTTCTCATACGAATCTATTAGTCTATTCTAAACTATTTTGGTATTATATAAAACAAATAATGAATGTTTCTTCGTGCAATGGTAAGAATATTTTCATTCGGTGAAAGATGGAATGTTCCATTCAACTCGGCTGTCGCCTCGTTGAATGGAACATTCCATCTTTCACCTCATGAAAATATTCTTACCATTGCACTCATAAACATTCATTATTTGTATACTATTTTACGTTGTCTTAACATGAAGTACTCCGACATTAGTGGTTACCATGTTAATACTGCCATACTGTTTTTGTTTTTCCCATAATAGTTAATTTTTATATTTTTTCTACAAAATCACAAAAAGAATGGGAAGATTCATACTTTTAACTATAAGATTTTCGGCATCCTCGATGCTCGAACGGATTTCTCCATCCGGACAAGTGCTTGATAATCTGTCCGCGCAAATGGCAGAAATCTGACAAGAACATAAAAATTAAGAGTGCCAACGGGTTCTATAATTAAAAACATACATATATACCTTCCTCACAATGACGTCTATCACGGCAACAACATATACCTCCCATGATCTATGAATTTAGAACATATATATTTGATATTTAACATGACCACTTTTGTCCGGGATTGCACATTAAAGAATGCTGGGCGTTCCACCTGCAAAATGCAGCATTTTGAATTGTTCCTAAACGGTCGGTAACATGCAGTACGGTTAATGTACCTGCAGTAACCTGCAGTACGTACCTGAGATTAGTATCTCGTATTATAACTGCTAAAATGACCCGATCACGAAGAAAAACATAAATAACTATTTACCTGGTAAGCCTTTTTTATATCAAAATAACTATTCTACTCTAGTTTGTGTTAAACCGTTGTTTACATGGATAAAAACGCTTTTTAGAACACTTGCTGAAAGAGTGATACTTAATTGAATAATTGCAAAATAATTGGCATCGTTCAACGGGCCTTTTCGGCGAACTAAAGTGAAACCACAGGGAGCCCAAGCGTTGATATGTGTTAGTGTTGTATGTTTTTCAGTTTATTTATTTTAGTGTCTTTATATTGCCTTTTAATTTAATTATAACACAAAATTACACTAATATGTCATATAATGATAATACTCCTATAGTTGAACATATAATAACAACATATAGGTTGATTTGTATTTGTATGCTTTTCAGTTTATTTATTTATTTAAGATCTATTATTAGCTTATATAAAAGAACCGCCTTTCGAACCTGACAGCCCGTTCGCAGGATACGCGCGGGATTTGAAATAGGGGGCGGCAACAAAATAAATACGTGACAAGGGATGAAACTCTTAAAGTTTGTCGTATTATGAATGCCCGAACTTGAGTGGACCGATAATTATGCAATAATTATGATATAAGCAAACTCGAATACAACTCAAGGTGAGAAGCCAATTTGTGTCGACCGTAACGGTTTCAATGTTTAAAAATTAAAAATTAAATACATTAGGTCCAGTCAAGTCATGCTACGAAACGTCGCTATTAGAAACTATAGCAATTTATAAGATTCTAGGGCTTTTATTTCACAAAAGTTTTCAATGGCTATGTACTTTATCCTTAGACACTGTCATGTGGCCGAATTTCAAGCTAAAATTCGTTTTAACAAGCACATGCGGCTTCAAAATAAATTCATCGCCGTGTTGTAATTTCATCCCTTGTCACATTTCTTATTTCAGTGCGAAATAACGCGTGTATCCTGCGAACGGGCTGTCAGGTTCGAAAGGCGGTGCTTTTATATAAGCTAATAATAGATCTTAAATAAATAAACTGAAAAACATACAAATACAAATCAACTTATATGTTGTTATTATATGTTCGACTATATAGGATTATTATTATTATATCACATATTAGTGTAATTTAGTGTTATAATTCAAACTAATATGAAGTGAGGAGACATCGTTCACAGAATTATGAGAAACGCGAATGTTAAAATATGAAGAAGATATATGAACCAAGGTTGACATATCTTATTATTATATAATTTTTCTTATATCTTCTTATATTTATATAAGAAGATTTATTTTTTGATCGGGCGACTTTAATAGCAAGCGAGGTTAATAAAAGGTTTATTACACTGTATATGGCATTTAAAGGCATTTATAGTCGAAACAAAGAAGAAATGCATGATTTCAAATGCATATTAGTAGCGTGGTACACATTTGATCGAAGAAAACAAAAAAATACCAATGTATTCCTTCTTTTCCACTTAAAACGATTCGCAGACATGTTATTAATAAAAAATTAAATTATTATTTTCAAATTTTCAATTAGTTTTGCTGTTTTGTTTTAAAATGCATGCGTTTGATTTTCAAGAAACGAGAAATTGCGTGAGAACACGAGCACGAAGTGCGAGTGTTTGCACGCAATTTTGAGTTTCTCCCAAACTTCCACCAAGTGTTTCTATAAACTCTATAGGAACACGGAAAAATGTTTTCTATTTCCTTTATTAAACAGCCTTTTAAAAACAATAGAAAAGATAAATTTATTGATTTTAATTACATTCATTCAAATATTAAATATGTTCGTGTAAAGAATAAACTGCATGATTAAAAGGCATATGGCAGACAGCAGTTAACAGCCTTACTGAATTATATACTTTACTAAAGTATATAATTCACTCAACAACGTACATATGCTTGCAAAGAAAGTACTGTTATAAATAGTTAGTAAACGTTTAAACATGATTAAAAACGATTAAAAACGATAAAGTATATAGCTAAACATGATTAAAAACGTCACGAGAAAATATTTTTTTAAAAAGACAAAGTAAGATTAAAATATCTTAACTTGGTATTAAAACAGTCAAACAGATACAACTTATGCTGTATTGTACTGTGCTTTAGGTCGTCGCTTTCTAAGTTATAGCAAAGCGTTGTCGTTCTTCGGGGTTGTGTATATCGCGCATAAACCTCCATTACGGGAAAACAATGGACCGCTGAGAGTACTTCTCAGCCAATCACAATCCGCCATTTAACCAGAAATGATGTTTGTCATATAATAAAAATTCATAAAATATGTATGGTATAAAATTATTTTCCGGGATGTTATTATAAACTAACAATTGATTTACAGCCGCAGTAGGCCGTAGGATGAGCATCCAAAAGATGCTTAGAAAACGGATTCCGTTGCACCCCTTGTGTAACTACATAATTTTCACATGAATAAATAGATAAAAACATACTTTATCAGAATCCGTTGCTCCCCAAGCGAAACAGGTGCACAATTGGGAGAAAAATCCCTCCAAAGTTTGATATTTTCGCGCTTCGAAATATTCGAACCGCCATTGTTTTGATAGCAAATACGCATGCGTAACTCACCCAAACTCGCACTGCGCACGCGCACAACCAATGCACATGCTTCGAAGTGGAAACACGCTCAGTTATGTAAATAAGCATGGCTGAAGATATTTATAAAACTCAAATATCCTCGTGTTTTATGCATTTTGATGGCGTTACGGAGCAACTTTGCAAAGTTACACGCCAAAGGCTTAAGAAATTTCTTGAGTGTAGATCAAAATGGGCCAAACTTAAATGTCAACAAGCTGAAATAGCTAAGAAATCGGTACGAGAACATCGATGACGGATCTGTCAATTCATACATGGAGAAGAACCCTGACACCATTAACTTAGAATGGAACCATCATGAAATGCTGGAAGAGATTTTGTGATGAAGAGAAGATCTGTAGATCACAGAGAAAAGAAGAAAAAGGAGAAGGAACTAGCTCTAAAACTGTAAGTTCTACCGAAGAATCACACATGGAAGTGGAGGCAATAGAACCAAGGCGAAAAATTACACGTCAATCAGTCGCAGAAGCTATAAATATAAAGGCCCTGCCTAAAAGAAACGCGCATGTACTCCCAGAGATATGTATTATTTGTGGAAGAGACGCCTCGTGGTTCTCACTAGACAAGGTATGGTCATTTTGAAAGGTATAATACTAGCGCAATCGCCGCAATGTGCACAACATTCTCCGGTTTGGTTTTAAAATATATTGAATTGTGATCAATTAAGTTTACTTAGGGTAAAGTAGTTTCTATGCTACAAACATCCAACCTTGTTATTAGTAGACATTTAGTTTAATAATTTATTTTGTTTCACACCAGGCAATTAAGAAGAGAAGAAGAACCCCACTCATGTTGGCAGAAACAATTGATGCTGGTCTTCTACGTACAGCTGCCGAGAGAAAGAATGATCAACAGATACTCATGCAAATCCAGGGGAAGACTGTGTAGCTCTGGAAATCCGCTATCACAAAGTTTGCTACTGCAATTATACAATATTTCTCACCAGAGAGACGAAGAAGCAACAAGAGCATCAGTGTACGAGAAGTCTTATGATGTATTCTGTAAAAAAGTAATTGAGATGGAGGTTATCAGAAATAAGCAAATAAAGTATATGAAAGAATCAAGATTTGCTGGAGAAATTTGTTATCATTCCTAAGGACACTGAGAATGTGGATGCATCTAAATATAGAGCTTTTAAACTCAAGCAATGACTGATGAAAAGTTATCCCCAACTTGTGTTCTGTGTACCGAAAATGAAAAATGTTAGTGAGATTGTATTTGTGGAAAATTTGGATTCTTCTGAATTGGTTGAGGAACATATGTCAATTAAGGGCCTGTTTATATGGAAGTCGGGCTGGCCCGCTTAGCGAGACAGCCCGGTAAGCGGGATGAATTTCTCTTGTGTTTATATGAGAAACTTTCATCCCGCTTGCCGGGACGATTTTGTTACATTGTATTGTTTTGATAGTTGTTAAAAATAGATCGCGGTGGTATCTTTGAACTTTCATCCCGGTAACCGGGATAGCCCTCTTGTAAATGTTTATATGGAGAAATTTCCATCCCGGTAAGCGAGATCTAGCCTCTTTCAAACGAGATCTCGGCAACCGGGCCAGCCCGCTTGTCCATATACACGCATAATAATTTTTACTATAAAAATAACTACACAGCGAGATCTCGCTTACTAGGCTGTCTCGCTTATCAGGCCGGCTTCCATATAAACAGGCCCTAAGTCTGAAAACAATGATGAGGACTTTGATGAAGAGAGCTGTACCATTGATTATGATGATGTGAATTCCAACACAGAAACTGAGGGAAATTCTAAAGTCAATGACTTACAAATTCTATACAATGCTGCAAGAAATACCAAAACTGAATCTTCCTTGGCCACCATTGGCATCTGATTTGACAAGGGATAATATTTCAAATTTGACTATGAGGTCAGGACTAGACTAGATTTCAAGTCCACACAGTTTGATTAAGTCCGAGGCAAAGCAGAGGACTGGATCAAAATGTGAGGACTTGAAATCTAGTCCAGTCCGAATTGGAGGATTTGAAAAGACATCCATACAAATAAATCACCACTTACTTAATTTTGATCCAGTTCAAGGACTGAATTAGTTTTAATCCAGTCCTAGGACACTACAGGATCAATATACTTCGTAAGGTATCCAGTATTATCATGTGAGCAAAATAAAGCAATGTGGTTGGCTAATTTGCTCATGAATTATTAATTATTTGAGGTGAACAATGGTAGTAATGCACATAGATATTATCAGTGGAGTAGATCAGTATTTATTTACTTATTCGACATTCTCAATCGAATCCACAGTATTTATATTATCAACACATATATCCCTCTCATGGACAGGGTAACAGTATGGTCATGTCTGGGAAGCTAAAACGCACCCTGGTGGAGGAGCTAAAATGCACAGCAGCAAACCTATAAGAAAAAGTCAACTAGTGTGGACAAGAAAAACCATAATGAATCGTTCGTTGTTATTCTAGATAGTGGCTAAATACCAACTTATGTCACAATATAAATAATAATATATGCAATAGTTCAAATAGGAGAAGTAGAACTTTACCAGACAAAAGCCAGGACAGCTTATTGCAGAATATATGCAATCTCGTTTTGAGCGTGCAAGCCCTTAGCCTGCGGTGCAGACGCAATTTCCCGCAACTAGCAAGCCCTTGGCCAGGATCCAATAAGTGGGGTTTTATTGCTCTGATGAAAATCTGGGTTCAAATTCTTTCAATTATAGATAGCTATAATGAAATTACGGATTTTACATTTCCTCCCAATTTATCTTTTTTTATGATAAATTTCGAGTTGATATAAATATCCCTTAAAGCCCGGGATGAACTGGGAAACACTGTTTGTCATATTATTTGTCTTTCCAATCTTTCGGTATGTCATATTGTCTTATCAGCGTCGGCAAACGGATAAAGAGTGTTTCATAAAATGCTTCTGAATTTGGTAGGAAATAATTTGCTTTCTGGGAAGCAAATTTTGCGTCTGCAATAAAAGCCAATTAAAAATCACGAATATTTCCGCGACATTGTTTCTTACGTTTGGCCAAGGCTTTAAGTTTAGCGAAATATTTCATTTGTTCCTTGATCGTGTGAATTGTATGTATATATATTTTTTATTTCTTCGTCCTGTTTTATACAGGTGGTTTTTTTATCTCGCACAAATTTGTATTGAATTAGGATGTTAATATAGAGTAGAATTAAACGTTAAAACGGTATTTTGAAACAATAGTCAATGAATTGAAGTGATTTAGCATATGAGCAAGCAAAATATACAATGTGTTTTTAACAATATTTAATGTGGGTGTATTTATATACAAGGTTTATCAGTATTCCGTGATTTTATTTTGTTGTTTTTGCGGAGGAAATCGGGGAAACCCCCCAGTGAGAATCTATTTTTATAGTCTGCGCGTGCGCAGTGCGAGTTTGGCTGAGTTGCGCATGCGTATTTGCTACCAAAATAATGGCGGTTCGAGCATTTCGAAGCGCGAAAATATCAAACTTTGGAGGGATTTTTCTCCCAATTGTGCACCTGTTTCGCTTGGGGAGCAACGGATTCTGATAAAGTAAGTTTTTATCTATTTATTCATGTAAAAATTACGTAGTTACACGAGGGGTGCAACGGAATTGCATCTTTTGGATGCTCATCCTACGGCCTATTAGTGCATTCATCGCAGCCCGCGATTTGTAAAACACGGACTCAGTCCGCGTTTTCCCGGTCCGGTCCAGTCCAGTCTGTGTTTTACAAATTCAGTCCGCGATTTGTAAAACACGGACTCAGTCCGCGTTTTCCCGGTCCAGTCCAGTCCAGTCTGTGTTTTACAAATTCAGTCCGCGATTTGTAAAACACGGACTCAGTCCGCGTTTTCCCGGTCCAGTCCAGTCCGGTCCAGTCCAGTCCAGTCCGCCTTTTACAACATGCCGGATTTTGCGGTTGCTTGCAAATGGTAGTATTTTCATAACAAGGTAAGATCTCGCTTGTAAACTTGCCGAAATGTTTTCTCGATAACCGGGATAACTTTTCCCCATGGCCTGTTACAGGCCCTTACCAATCAAAGTTGAGCATGCCGTATTGAGCTACTAAAAAGCGTTTGAAAACTGACGGAAGCCATACTCTCCTGCTCATAGCAGGACTAAGACGAGGGCTGGACACCCGTTATTCATGTTATGAACCTGCGCTCAATTTATTCTCCAGATAGCCTGTTTGCCGGTTAATAGAAACACGCTAAAATCCGACCAAAAATTTTGCAATAATTGGGAGCGCCGGCGTGTCTGAGTGAAAAGAGTTTTAAATGTAATTAAAAAATTAAAAACATTCCTATTTAATCTCAGCATGACCTCTAGCTTCGCCACACAAGGTTACATTATATGATGAAAACACTGATTTCAAATTCATCACTTTTTACATTTTTATTGATTTATATTCAGGGGCTGGAGATCTCTCGTTTGCCACAAGTTTTTAAAAAAATATTAAAATGCGACCGAGATATACGTATAACAAAACATGTTGTAACCACGGATTCTTTTGCCACGAAGGTTGCATAATTTTAATCGTTTTAATTGACAATATGTGGATAGATATGATACTCGAAACTGGATGTGTGATGCACGATAGATCTTCTGCTGCGTTTTCGTTGGCCAATTTAGATCGCTCTCTAGCTATGACCTCTTTACACTTGCGTTTCGCCGGCATATTAGCAAGTTTTTTGTCTGGCTTCTTGCACGTAAGGGTTGTGATAAACTGATAATGAGTGAATGACACCGAAAACGCTTGTCCAAACACATGCACTTTTCTAATTTTAATCCGATTACAGTTCAAGGTCATATAGGTTATCTTTAAAACAGGGATGGGGAATATATTTAATACTAGAAGTTACTATCGCAAGGAGAATGTTGCCTCACCCCAAGGAATGAAAGGCAGCATGCGCAATTTGCTGAATGAGGGGCTGTTTATATGATTTACTGCTTTGCCAGGACGAGATATGAGGCAGGATGATTTCGATGTATTGAAATAAGTCACAGTGCATGATTCATCAAAACACCTCATTATTTTCTAGAGATGGATTATACTGTAAATGAAAGGTAATTCAAGCAGCAATAATAATCTTCCTGAACTACAAGATCTTCTCTACAACATTTGAGTTCTGTTAAATTAACTAGCATTTGAATTTTTGCTTACTAAACAGCCTAGTGACTTATTTCAATGCATCAAAATCATCTTCCATCATACAAACAGCCCCTAGGATACCTGTTCAGGAGGCAGCAAACGTGAAATTTGTGTCCATTTTAGCTTGTTACATTGATGTACATATACAGGTTTGTAATATCATGACATACAATGTTCCTGCCATCCTTATGGTAGATTGGAAACAAGTATAGTAATTTAATAATACATGGCAGATTCCATCCCATTGCATTACATGTAATATATCCATAAAATCTTGTAAATCAGCATTCTTGTATTTAATAAGAATACAATTCTGTTAATCTAGAAGCTCCCATCCTATTACATGCAATGTATAAATAATCCTATTACATGCAATGTAATATATCCATATTATATTTTGACTGTAACAACCATTTGGTTTCATCCAGCAGTTAACATGGCACAATTCACATCCGTCAGAATTGCAAAACTATAGAAAAAAATAATTGGTAGCATGAGATATTACTATTAGGCACCACAGAATAGGCAATTTCAGCTTTTAGTTTATGTGCGTGCAGGGGAGATGGGGAGTAAAGTATCATATTACTGAATGCTGAAAAAATAAAAATGATGGCCATGTAAACTCAGAGTGATCTTTAATCTGTCATTTGATTGGTTGGTGCTAATTAGATTATACTATGACCAGTTGTTGATATATGATTCGTGATTACAACTATCTTATCGTGATTACTCACCACTTCAGCGGTAAAACGCACGTGTAAATTTCAAGGGTGTCACGTGGTACAAAATGTAAACATTGCGGACATTCGCTCTGTTGTGTAATAGGAGTTAATATGGCGCTCACTATCGTTACTGATTTGAATTGCAAATTTATATTGTAATTATTGTATATTTCGGTGTTGTTATACTACAAATATAAAGAAAAATGTCTAAAGATTCTATATCAGATATTAACGGCGTTGTAGTTCCTAAAAATCAATTGCTTTGAAACGACGGCGGTCCATGGTAATTTTAATGATTATAGTGATTTAATATGGTTGCGACGAAGAGATGCGCTTGGGGAACATTTAAAAACGATTTTCGCTACCCACATTCGATGGCTAAGTATAAGAATGGCCATCCTGTATATTTCTATCGCTTCCCAGCACCAAAAAGATCACAAGAGAAGCGGTCGCGTTGGATAACAGCCTGTCATCGAGGCTTGCTTAACTTTACTTGTTCTATAAAGGACAGCTACTGTATATTTGCAGTTTGGATAATTTTGTGTGCCACCTGGCGAAACGTCACCGAGTCCCACCAAAGATAAAATTGTACACAATGATGAATGTGAGTCTTCCACAAAGGAAAATACAACACAGGTAATTATCTCAAATTTACCATATTAAATTGCAGAATAGAGTATATTTCTCATCACATTGCATAATGTAGTTTTCTATAGGGCTAAGATTGGTAAAGTGTGAGTATTTTTAAGTACCTTGTTGGTAAATTATGAAAGGTAGTCAAACAGACAAAATTATATTTTAGACAAAATTCTGTTTGAAAAATGGGGGAGGGGGGTGGCTCTCCCCCTGTCTCCAGAATTTACGCTATACCCCTCTTTATAACAGCAACCAAAAATCAATCTTTTCCCATATATATAGCCATCAAAATCTTAGAATTAAGTACTTTGTCTCTGACAATGGAATATCGCCTGGTTTATATTTGCGTTCTTTTATTACTAGAGTTACCAGTAATTTCTGCAAATGATATTGTATTACACCAACCAATTTGCTACAAAACCCAAAAATGGTTCACCCAAACTGAAAATAATATAGCTGTCCTTTATAGAACAAGTATTAAAGCTATCACCTCGATGACAGGCTGTTATCCAGCCCGACCGCTTCTCTTGCGATCTTTTTGGTGCTGAGAAGCGATAGAAATATACAGGATGGCCAATCTTATTCTTAGCCATCGAATGTGGGTAGCATAAATCGTTTTTAAATGTTCCCCAAGCGCATCTCTTCGTCGCAACCATATTAAATCACTTTTATCATTAAAATTACTATGGACCGCCGTCGTTTCAAAGCAATTGATTTTTAGGAACTACAACGCCGTTAATATCTGATATAGAATCTTTAGACATTTTTCTTTATATTTGTAGTATAACAGCACCGAAATATACAATAATTACAAATATACAATAATTATAAATTTGCAATTCAAATCAGTAACGATAGTGAGCGCCATATTAACTCCTATTACACAACAGAGCGAATGTCCGCAATGTTTACATTTTGTACCACGTGACACCCTTGGAATTTACACGTGCGTTTTACCGCTGAAGTGGTGGTCGATTGTTGTTGTCATTGTGTGAAATTTAAATTTCTCCTGAGTCCTGCGACATTTTGATTGGATACTAAATATAAACTTTCAATTGCTGTTGGTGGAAAGCATCGGATTAAGGTTTACTTCAGGCTATATTTGTAAAATAGAGTCTGATCTCAGGTTAGCTCTAGTCTACCAAAGGGCTCTACCCCAATGGATAATAGATCAGTGTTACATATTTTGCCACAGTGGTCAGATCAGTGATACTTTTTGCCTCAACAGGCTCTACCACAATGGGTACCGGTAGTTCAATGTTATTTTGTGCTTAATGAGCTCTACCACAATGGGTAGTTGAATGTTATTTTGTGCATCAATGGGCTCCAGTCCACCATAATGGGTAGACTGTTGTTATTTTGTCCTACTACAATGGGTAGACTGTTATTATTTTGTCCTACCACAATGGGTACACTGTTATTGTTCTGTCATACCACCCATGGGTAGTTCAATTATGTTATTTTGTGCATCAAAGCGTGTGTTGTAGTGTTGTAGTTGCCAGCTCACCAGCTGTAGTGCATGTGACACGTGTGTCGATCACAGAATCTCGTATATAAGAAAACATGTGCGTATATAAACTTGAAACACTGACAACTTTAGGTATAGTTACCTACAGATAAAAGTTCGACACAGGGTTTTAAGACAACAAAGTCATATATTATCCAGAGCCTGCAAGTACATTCTGTCTCCTTGTATTAGAATTATCATATTATTCAATGTTGTTTTTGACCAATCGTCAGTGCCATCAGTGGGATATTTTGGGCAGTTAAAAATGCCGATATTAACTCATAAAAGCACATTGTTTGCCCTTATATTGACACTAAAAAGGTCATCGCCTTGATGTACTTTAGAAGAAAGAAATAGAGCCATGCTTACCTGAATTTTTACGAATATTTTCGATCTCTTGCATCCGTATTTATACTGTAAAGCTTGAAAAATCTTGACTCTTGAGCACATGGAGATGCATGCGCAATACAAAATCTTGTTTTGACCGCTCCCCTCATTTAACAAACGTTCCTGAAGCTTAGTTATCCCCCCGGATTACGATATCTTTACATACAGACAGACAGACACAAGATCGAGATCTCGACAATACATAGATCGCGCGAAAGACTGGGTCGAGTGAACTCTGGAGAAACCACCACGTGTCAAGAATAGTGTGCTGCCTCGCTGCTTTCGGCAGCAATTAATATTTTAATATTTTAATAAGATTCGGCAACAAAAAATAGTCAAGAAACGCGCACGTTTTATCCGATTCCCTTCAAACTTTGCCACAGCGTTGAACAATGGTACAGGAGCAAAACCGTGTTCACGTTTTTTTTATTGATGATGCCATATACTTTTCAATTTATAGGTATCTGTTCTGCCGACTCATCTAAATTTTCTGACTCATCTAAATTTTAATCTAAATTTTAAAGTCTAAATTCTGACTCGTCTAAATTTTCTCCCAAAATTTAAATGAGTCAACTTGTCTGCTTAGCTAAAATCGAGTTTAACTAATGAGTATTATAGTATAAACCTACTAGTAGGCTATCACATATCGTGCCTTCTGATTGGCTACGCTACTAGTAGGCTATTAGTGATAGCCTACTAATAGAAAATTCAAAATGGCGGAAAATTCGCGTTTTGCAAAAGCCGAAGTGTCTGATGATTTTTTGGACGACTTGTTGAACAATTCTGTACTAAAAAAAACAACGAAAAAGCAACAAAAATATGGAATGGCAATTTTTAAGGGTAAGAAAATAGACAAAATGACATACACTGAATGAAATTTTAAAATTAAAACTGAATTTTGTAAAACATTTTCCGCGAACAAAAACTAAAATATTTGTTTACATTTAATGGTTTTATAATGTTTTTTGTGTATTTTTGTATTGTGTTTGCAGCCAAGTTGTAAATTAATATTAAAGTTTATACTAAAAACTTTAATACCGGCCTCGTTGTCTATGAGCAAATAGTCAACTCGGCTTCGCCTCGTTGACTATTCGCTCATAGACAACTCGGCGTCGTTGTCTAATTGTTAAATGGTCGCGTGTCGCGGCTTACTCTGACTGGTTCACTCTGACTGCTGAACAAGGAGAAGAGAAGTCGCGGGTTGTAAAAAAGCTCCAAACCATGTATTTTATTCCGCGGGTTGAATAAAGTGTGTAAAAATCCCGTTATCATTTAGTAAACAACTTTATATATATGATTGCTTCAATAGTCAATACGAAACATTGCCCAAGAGCCTTTTGTCATGATTTAATGGTGAAAAGCTATAAACATGCCAGAAGCCTAAACCTGAAAGTATAATTTCAATATGTTAAACCAACAATTATACCATGACAAAAATCCTCTGATAAAAAATGTGTTCTGAAAGAAACAAACAAGACGTGTTCGCTACAAAATTATGTGAAATACCTCTCATCTCAACTGTATTTTATTGGGGTCGAATAAAGTGTGTAAAAATCACGTTATCGACATTTAGTTATTTAATGATTTTTATCAACAGTATTATTCAATATTAACGTATATATATATGCAATGTACAAAAAAGTGAACCCTTTCAAATTCAAATTAGCTATAACTTATTGTATAGTAATTTGACAGCTCTAATTGCTTTGAATTTATGAGTGGGTCATCACTCATGGGACAAAACTCAAAGAAATAAAAATTAGAAAATTTAAAAGAAATACAGTATTCCTTGTGTTCTTACCCAACCATTAATTCAAGGCAATTAGAGCTGTCAAATTACGACAATACGTTATACCTAATTTGAATTTGAAAAGGTTCACTTTTTTTAGACAAACTGTATATTGTTTGGACATTTTTTGTCTACATGTACCGTAGTATTCTCTCTATAATTAAAGCCTCCCCCGGGAGGGGCCTTAACAGAGAGAACAGGATCCTGGCCTTGCAGGATTAACTCGTACCAAGTAGTAGACCTGGTATAGTAGCTATACAGGAACAAGTTTCAAAAACAGAATGAAATTTGTGAGCCTAGTTACACCGCATTTTTAATGTATTAAATTTGACAACAATTTTGAAAGATCAAGGCTATACGTATAGTATCATTTCGAGGGTCAAGAGTTAAATTTAATACTGCAGTACTCTTCGATATCCTACAATATGCGTCCTATGGTATTACCACAGTTAATAATTTCTATTAACTGTGGTATTATACATTACATTTTATAATGTCTGTAAACGAAGAATGCGATTTTTTATTTTTGCCTTTCTAATTCTGAATTTTAACCAAATAATTTGCATTTACAATTATAATATTTGCAATTGCGTTGTGTAATACGTACAGTAGGCGTCACGTTAAATGTTTATCTTGTTGTCATACCACAGAACGGCCGGTGTCATGTTAGGCCTACGTACTTTCTGAATTAAAACTACCGGGTACTACCCTAGCTTTAGTTAGTACGTCGAAGGCTGGAAGGCAAAATATTCGTCGGTTAACAACTACTCCGTCTACTTGTAGCTATAGACGCATTATAAGTTTATAACGTCTGTTAAGAAATAATGCCTTGTGAGATGAGAGACATTTCACATAATTTTGTAGCGAACACGTCTTGTTTGTTTCTTTCTTTCAGAACACATTTTTTGATTAGAGGATTTTTGTTGAAATTATACTTTCAGGTTTTAGGCTTCTGGCACATTTCTATAGAAGTATAGAACAATTAAATCATGGCAAAAGGCATTTGGGCAATGTTTCATATTGAAGCAATCCCATATTGTTTACTAAATGATAACGTGATTTTTACACACTAATTTATTCAACCCGCGACTCAATAAAATACATGGTTTGGAGCTTTTTTACAACCCGCAACCCGCGACTTTCTACCAAAAATCAACCCGCGACCACTAGTCAAAAATCAAAGCCAGCACAATACCTGTAAAAAAACGCGAACACGGTTTTGTTCTTTGATCATTCACATTTGAAATGGGAACTATTATGTTTCGGAAGCCTTAGAGGTATCATAGGCGTTTTAATCTCGTGACGCAAAAGGCCGTCTTATTTTCAAAAGCATCCCGTAGCAAGTACAGTTTTTAAAAGATGTAGAATTTTTGGAAAATCGTTACATACAGCAATAATTTGTCATTATGGATGCACAATTTGAGGGGAGAAACTCGAAAATAGAGCGCGCGGTGAGCATTTTGTGACATTGTGACAGTTTCAGTTAATATTTCTGAGTATCTCATTCCGCTGATTCGGCCGATTACGATAAATATTAAAGCTTGGCAGCTTACAATGGCGGCTACCTCAAAAGTCAAAACGGGATGATATTTCGCTGATACAAATATACAATATGTCTATGAAAGAAGGACTGGAAACTACAGGATACTGAGCTGTCTGATCATACGTTTTTTTATAAGCAAGGGAAATATTAAACCTTCAATGGCGGTCAAAGACAGATAAAGATCGCGCGCGGTCAGGAGTCTATTCAGGGATCAGCATGCACACTATTTTTGACGTGCCGTGGTTTCTCCAGAGTCTACTCACCCCAGTCTTATGCGCGATCTATATATTGTCGAGACTTCAATTTTGTGCTTATTACTAAGTTGTTTGGCTTTATTCCGGGGGAACATAATTTCGAATTGCGCGAGCATGATTTGTATGTATCATGCAAACGTAAATTTTACTTTTAGGAGTTCTTAAATTCTATTTTTGGTTAGGTCAGATATTTTGCAGAAGTTTTTAGCATGATGGCGAAAGTTCCTTTTGATTTAATTAAATAACTTCTTCTATTTTTAAGCCAAATAGCCTATTTTCAGGCAATGTATGCGTAACAAAAATGTAAATGTACCACACAATTGCAAAACGTATTATATAATACCTTATTGAAATCTGATCGTTTAGTTGGCTGTTTTTGGTCACGTGCATGATATTGAATAGAAAATCCTTTTCCCAAGAGTGCGATGGAATACGTTCCATTGCACTCTTTGAGTCAAGCCCGTAGCTGGCTCTCAATTTCTGGGGGGGCACTCACTCCAGAAAGAATGTAACCAAACGTTTGAGATGAAAATTTTTTTTTGTCCGGAATTTATTCTGGTGACCTCCCCCCCCCCTCCCCCCCGTCGCCAAAAAAATTTCGGTCAGTTTACCATTTTAGGGGTCAAAAAATTTTTCCGGACATAACAATTTTTCCGGACATACTCCATTTTTCCGAAATCTAACAAAATGGAGTGGGGGGCAGTGGGGGGCACTGTCCCACCGAGTGGGGGGGCACTCCCCCCCAGCTACGGGCCTGCTTTGAGTGCAATTGTACTATACCCGTTTTATTCCATTGCACTCTTTGTGTTTTCGATAAATCGCATCCGTCAAAATGCTTCTCATACGAATCTATAATAGTCTATTTTGGTATTATATAAAACAAATAATGAATGTTTATTCGTGCAATCGTTGAATGGAACATTCCATCTTTCACGTCATGAAAATATTCTTATCTGATTCTTACAATTGCACTCATAAACATTCATTATTTGTATACTGTATATGACTGTATTTGTATACATATACAGTATATATGTATACAAATATTTATATAGATAGATAGATAGATAGATAGATAGATGGATAGATAGATCCAATTAAGAATCCATAAAATATAGTCTATGACAGAGGATTAATTGAAACAGTATGGGGGAGATTAAAATATATTCATACCACGATATAAAGTCCAATAAAATCATAAAGTTCCTCGCGAGCATGTTCTTGGACATCTTTTAGCCCAATAACATTGACTATGCAGATAAGTCCTAAATGGTAGCTTATAAACATCATCCCATCACTTTTCCTATGATTTTAAAGCAGTTGAACAAACTTTAACAAAGCGATTATATGTCACTCATGCTATATTAAATTTTAATTCCTTCCAAGTGCCAGCGCTGAAAAGGTAGATTAGTAGCTACCCTCGCACCTGCTTATCGTCTCGCTTATCGTTGCCTCGGACCTATAGCTAAGGTCAAGACAGACTCAAGAGCAATTGTATATATGACTCTATTACTTGTTTTTACCTTGCCAATATCCTTGTCTTTCTGAAGCCAAACATATCCAGATATTTTCCACTGACAAATATTGAAGCCAAAGAGGCGAAAACAGAGATTGTATAGGCCAAGCGAAGAATACTATCTTGATCGGAACATGTGTTTGTATCACTGCTAACTGTCTCATTCCCTGACAAGTTACTTGTGTTTGTCTGTGATATAGTCTTGTTTGAATTAGCCCCGTGTCCGCAATAAGATGAGAAATATTGTTCACCTTCAAGTATTTCCAATAATTGAGCCCAACCGAATATAAGATATGTACAGAGAACACTTTCAAATGCACTCCATACAACCAAGCAAAGATGGTAGATGTGCATTATTGAAGTATTCTGATTTCTGAAGACCGAATCAATTCAGAATATATTTTATCATTTATATTTGTTTTTGAGTAATTTTATGTACAGCATTATATTCGTTTCACCTTGGTATTCATGTCTCGATGAAGTTATCTTTAGTCATATAATTAACACTTTCCGCATATGTAAGCTGACAAAGCGGTCAACACTGTAATATGATATTACATTTGGCAACACGGCTGCCGGCCAAGGGCAAGGGCATCTGTAACTGACTCGTCCCCAGTCGTCTCTTTGATTTTAAAACAAAATTAAAGGTGGAAATTGAATAGGTGAGTATAAATTGGGGGTGGAAATCCAAAACGTTAAGACCTGGTTAGATGCAAACAAATTAAAATTAACATTGAATGAAGAAAATACAGAATCGACACTGACCACAGAATTATAAGACAATTTATTGCAGTGTATATTGAAGAACAACTTACACAGTATCTAGATCTTCTATAAATTTTATAGCGATTTACCCCCGCCTTTTATACCTTGCCCAGAAAATGCAAAGGAATGATAGCACATAAGGTTTAGCTAACTATTTCTCAGTCTCTATATATGGTCAAAGTGTCTCTAGATTTTGTCATGGATACATCAGTAGCCTACAAGTAGCTACATAATTCATTAACTCTATATACGCACAAAATCTCGCACATGCAGACATATGATCTAGCATTATTTGATGAGTTTTTATAGGCATTTTAAAATTTCTATTGATCACAGGCGGCCCAATCTCGCAAGGGTCAGTATAGACTTAGAGTATAAATGTATATTATATTATATTATATTATATTATATTATATTATATTATATTATATTATATTATATTATATTATATTATATTATATTATATTATATTATATTATATTATATTATATTATATTATATTAT